GTGGGGGAAGGCGGGGAACCGGATGTGGGTGCAGGACCCCAGGGCTTGGGAGCGCGGTGACGAGGGAAGATAGGTAGTATAAAAGGGAGCCCGGCGGGGAGGAACAGAGAAAAGGAGGGCATCAGGAGGTGACCTGGACGTCGGGTGGACTCTTGACGAGCGGTGAGCATCGGGTGGACTCCCGTGTACTGTAGCTGAGTGGATTCTCAGCGACCGCTTCAGATTCATTAAACGTTTTGGTTTGACAGTGCCCAGGAGACCGGGCACAACAGTACCCAAGGGTACTAGGAAACTCAGTTTCGCGCGTGACTGTGCAATACTGTACCAGGTTTTAATAGCAGGTTTTAATGGTGGGTCATAATGCAACTGCAGCCAAAAACTCGGCCCTTTGCTACTGTACAAGTACCATACCACAACTGCAGCTTAAAATGCGCCAACCGGACCAATCCGTTTGAGAGCAATTTTCTCCCACTCATGGCTTCGCAAACACCGCTGCTAAACGAGAGGTTGAGTTGCATCGAGTGATTATTACGATCGAATGGCACGTGCTAGAGCATTTATTGAACATGGGCAACCTCCTTCGCGGTTCCCATTAACGGGCAAAAAGATACACATTCTCTTTGTCATGCCCAACCCTTGGTGAAGTCGTCCACTCCGCTAACTGTGTGTGAACAAGAGACCGATGACTCCTCGTTTACTCGTCGTCGCTCGTTGGTTATAAGTCTGTTCCCTGCGGGACAGACTGTCCTGTGCGGTCTGACAAACTGCCCTCTGTCGCCAAACAGTCAGTTACGATACTGATCCTGGTATTTTCAGAGGAGTTGAACCAAAAGACATCCAGCAGAGGAATTGGTGATTTTAGCAAGGCATTCATGAGGCTATGAAAAAAGGAAAAAAACACGTGGCAGGTGAGCTGATTGGCACTTCCTCAGTAGAAATGCCAACTATATACAATGGTGTCGCACTCCTTCATCATGCTCAGTACGACACCAGCCTTGCACTTCTTAGATTGAGGGGGGCCGGAAATGAGGGCTAACAAGAGCTTATGCAGCGTGCTGAACGGCTGCCTGTGGCTGATCCTTGCGGCGCAAGTCCCACTCTTAGACGTGTAGCATTAGTCCCGCCGGTTGTTTCGCCGAAGAGACTGCGGACCATCGCAACCCCTTTGAGCTCTTTTTCCGCAAAGGATTATCACTCCAAATCCCCGTTCCATCTGTCAATTCGATCGCTAATTGGACCACATAAAGCGAACAAATCGTCGTCATGCTCTCAATAACTTGAAACACAATCACTTTGTGCAGACCATACTGCTCCCAAAGATATAGATCCGGTCTCATTGCTGCTTAACAACAGTTGCCGCTTGCCGTTTCGAAATCAGCCCTTCTATGGTTCGCCACTGCACGAAAACAGCCTTTGCAAAGCGAGCAAGTGGTTTTTGTCGTCTCGTCGCGCCGGTGTCGATTCCAAATTTTTCATGATGCAGGAACGGAGTGTATGAGATTCTTGGTCTGTTTTACTGTCCGTTATATTCAACCAGATTCATGTTTTGCTGCTGTCGGTATGCCAATGCTCGACGTAACTCTCAACGTAGTCTCAACTGTCTGAGGTCCACCTTAATGCTATGATCAAAATTCAATCACATTCCAAGTCCAAATAGTATTCTCGATATAGTGGTGCGCAAGAGAACGTAAGTACAGCTTCAACGGACTTGTTTATCAAGGGTTCGCCGCATTTGTGCCCGAGAGCAGGCTCTTTAACGTGTGGCTACACATGAAAAATTGTACCTTCTCGGCATGCACATATTTGTTGATGTGGAAGACATTGTGGAGGAAGCTCCAGGGGGCCGACGTTGTTACCACGTTGCAACTGACTCGGGAGTTCCCGGAGAGCGCCTCTATTGCTTATATAGACTAGGCGATGCTTCCTAGAACGGACGCAAGCGCATGCAGACCGTCTAAGAGGCTACTATCACTGTCTCGCGCGCTGCTGTCTCTGCGAGCGCGCATAGGCAAACGGTCGCAGGTAGCGACCGTTAGAGTGTTTGCCCCGACTGATGGCTGGTGTCTGTTAGTCGTGCCAGCCACTGGCTGGTACGAAGCAATTGGTGCTTGGGCTATGCTGCCCTTCGGGGTGGTTGCTGTGCTGCAACCAGCACGGTCTCCCGCCCCTAGCCTTCTGCGCCAACTCTACTGTCGTGTCGTGAACGGGTTGGGGGCTCGAGGTGGTGGAGAGGAGAACGGAATGGCTCTGGGCACGACAAGGCGCAAGAAATACAAGAGAAAGAACTCATTTCATCCACAAAACATCAGTGCCGAATTCGTTCTGTAAGATCGCGCACCCGCATTCGAAAACTCGACCCTGGTCCTGTGGTGTTTTCTGATGACGATTGCCTGACGATTTCATCGCAATACAAAAAAAAAAGAAGAATTGTAGTGGCCGTCGCACGTTTTTGATGCTTGATTGTATCTTTTATTCTCCATGTTGTGTTGTGTTGTGTTGCTCCCTCCTTGAGATTAGCGTCCATCGTACTCCGAGAGTCAAGTTAGTTTTCTAGATATTCTCGCACAAAGTGCCTACGACCTGGGCGCCCTCACACGGACTAGATCTATACAAGCCCTAAGATTTCTAGCTAGACATTGGGGTGATGTCCAGTTGCACGGCTCTCTCATTGCGTAATCCTGTCCTGGACACTCTAGCTGCTGAAAACACAAGTCCGATACCGATTCGTCATCAAACCATGACAGATACAAGAGACTGATTGCTGTTTACTGAACGGTTTGATCACGTCGCATTGGCCGACTGCGTGGTTTCTGGACAAGGAAACAGCATTGCTGTGCAGTGTAATGATTAATTTGACATACAGTTGAATATAAAGTTGAATATAACTACACTGGGAGCCTCCGAAAATAACAAATCACAATTTGCGAGCCCCCTTTTTGTGATAAAGACACCCCGCTGCAGCCGTTTGTGTCGTATCAAACCCGGCTCTTGTCTGAGGGGGGGAGCCCCTCAGAGCCAGGCGACACCCGTACCTAATCGCTTTTCTGGCGCCAAAACGTCTCTAGACGTTACACGCACCAGACGCAGACGACCCATCGCGTCAGCTTGATCCTGCTCGAAACTTGCTCACTGCGCTTCTTGCGTGGCTTCTTGACTCCTCATCCTTCGCTGCTCTGCTCCGCTATACTCCGCTCCGCCCTTCTTCGCTCCGCTGTACTCCGCTACGCCCTCTTCTGCTCCGCTGAGCTCCGATACGCCCTCCTTCGCTCCGTCCTTCTCCGTTACGCGCCTCTCTGCCACTGGCTTCTCTCCTGCTCGCTTGTATGCTGCTAGTCTCTTCGCCCAGTCCTACCCCGCTCTGTCCCCATTCATTTCTTGCTTATCTGCGACTCGCCTCTCTGCCCAACCCTTTTTGCGCTTCTTGCGTGACATGAATCCATCACAGCGTCCTTCCGGTTTATTGGAAATTGACGACAGAAACCCCACCACATCGCACGATCGCACACCGCAACGTGGCCTTGCTGATGATCATCCCCAGCTGGTCGAGCCGCGTCCTGCCTCATCTACCGAACTGGACCGCAGCCCATCCATGCTCCATCCCTCTGAGGTGTTCCCGGAAAGCACTGAAGACGGTAATGCCTTCCCCCCTTCCTCCTCTTATACTCCTTCCCCTGCGCCCTACCGAAGGGTTGGTGAAGTACCGTCCGTTTTCGATTCGAGCCCTGTTCCGGAAGCTTCAGCTTCCCTGCCTACCGCGGAGCCACGAGCAAGCGACACATCATCGCTGGCACCGCCCAATTCTCTCAGAAATGTTAGGGGGTCACAAAGGCTGCCCCCGAGACGCCTAGTGACTAAACGGAGGCGCAATGAAAATGGAATAAAGAAGGCAAAACGGGGAGGGAAACGGGGAAGTGGGTTTTCACAGGAAGAGACGGACAGCCTGTTGGAGCTGCTGCTGGAGCACCTGCCACTCTGCAAGGACGAGTGGGAGAAAATAGTACGACTGCATGAACTCCGCTATCCTCAGCAGGGGAGAAATCCTGACTCTTTGCGCAGGAAGTTTTCTGCTCTTTGTCGTACAGTACCTCCCACTGGGGACCCCAGTATTCCCCGGGATGTTCTGAAAGCCAAGGAGATAAGAAAGGAGATGACGGAGGGGGCTGATCTAGGGGACGGGGAGGAATCAGATGATCAGTACACTAACGAGTTAGGCGACACTCTTCCGTTTTCAGCATCGCATTCAGGCTCGCTAAGTGCTCCCTCGGGAGCGCCAACGCCAGACTCGTCACCATCTCCTCTTGAAGACGACGCTGCCAGCAATGACATATCTCGTCGCGACAGCGGTGTGGAGTTGGTATCTCCAAGACCGCTTGTCAGAAAGCGTGGGGCGGTCAAAAAATCGGCGACTGATGAAGACAGTCTCATGAGAACTGTTAAGGCATGCATGGTTCAAGATCAGATAAATCGCGATGCTGAGTACAAGCAGCGCCTTATCGATCGGAGTGAGGAGC